TTATTATTAACTGAATTCAAGATATTCTCCGGGTAAAATCACGTTCTTGAGCCTTTTGGCATAGCGGAATTACGTGCGGCGTTGGTTTTGAGTCATTAAAAGTCGCTTAGGATAATATCTGGATGATTCGCATTTAAACTGAATACTTTTTTGAGCAATTTATCTCGTATTTTCGCAGGCCCTTTGGTGCTGCATGGTTGTCAAAACTGGACATTCCAGTACCTTCTGATTTGCCAAATATCTGACGAGATACGAAGTTTTGTGCAATGCCAGAAGCAATTTAAATTTGAAAAGAATTTAAGCAGTATATCGTTTCTGTTATTAAAATAATAATTTCGGTTATAAATTATTATTGAAATATATGGAGAATACTCTTTGCGCAAGAAAACTTAATGTATAAGCTTGATATTATTCTTTTAATTTACATAAATATTTCAAATATCTCACAATATCCTTTAAGAGAAAATTAACGATGAAAATAATACATTACGATATAATAAGTATCTCTGAATTACAAGGAATCATTACGTTACAGTCTTTTTTACAATGCATATATACGACCAGAAATATGTTAACTATGACTGTTTCAAACGTAATACTCCTTTTCTCCCGAAGTATCCTAGTTCGAGCAATAAATCAATTCTTTGCTTGTTACATGGAAACAAATCACACCAGAAACGTCATTACGTCGCAAAAGAAATCTCGATCATAGGGAGGGGAAAGGGAGAACGTAAGGCCTTCGCGGAACGGAAGTTCACCCGATTCGCGATATCCGACGCGGCGTGGCCGCTCCTTTCCCTTTCTCGTCCGCTTTGTTTCTGGAGCCCCGAAGATAATGAGCACAATTACGGAGAGGTTTTTGTTCTAGAAATTACACAGTAGTGTGCGGATGCATGTCTGTGGCTGATTGCTATGCCCCCGCCGTCTCCTCGGCGCGATACCTCGCGTCCGTGCGCGTCCGGGTGTTGCGTGCATGTTCGTGTACCTGTTGCGGAGCCGCGTGAGCGCGAAAGAGTCGTGGCAAGGATCGAGGACCTCGCGGCCGCGCCTGTGTATGTGTGAGCGCATTCGTGCGTGAACCACCACGTTTGTGCGGGGAAGTCGAAAGGACGTGGTAGCTCGGGACTCAAGAAGTGGGGGCAGGGACACGGAGTAAGCTCTAATTGCATTCAATAAAGCAAATAATAGCAAGCTCATTAGAGCAGAGAGAGGAGCTGGCGAGTTGACCGCGACTCGTACGCTAACCTGCCTACGCTCGAACGAAGGAAGAAAAGGACGTGGGAAGAGGAGGAGGAGAAGAAAGAGAACGTCAAGACGCGAAGGGTAAGACCGTATCGTTGAAGAAGGAAGGAGAAATCATGGGAGAAGGAGGAGAGGACAAACCAGACAGAAACCGGCGATCGTGCCGTCGTATCGTCGCGAGAATCACGGTCCAATGTCATTTATTGTCCGCGGTGGACCGCGCCGTTTGCTCGAGAACGTACCCTTCCGTTCCCTCCACGGATTCGCCCGCTTTATATGAATGGGCCATAGCCATGCAACCTTCGCGTCCTTCGTTAGGTATTTATCCCCGTTTATTATTATTTGGCCTGTATCCCCCATATGGACATATAGATGCCACGTTCACCGCGGCACGTCGGCAAAATCGATGAGTAACGTTTTGTACGCACCGCAATAGCACGTCGTTTCCTCGAGAACGTAGTGATCACTGCTATTCCTCTGTTTCTCTGGAATTCACTCGGAAATTACAATCACGCGGCATTAAGACGCGGACTGTTGCTGTTGCTAACAACGTCAGCTTGAGCTTCCCTCATTATGCAAAATAGGCAATGAACGCCCCTTCTGGGATTTAATTTTCTGGAGCTTATACTTAATTAGTGATGTAGCGTCTCAAGAATAGCATTGATAAAGTCACCATGGATTACGAGTTTGCCGAGATCGTTTTTTTATCGAAACTGTACTTTAAAAAACATTATAAGCGACTCTGACAATTAGTAGACAATGCTCTGACAATTAGCAGATGATAATAACCAATTTTATCGTCTATTACATTTGTATATTCCGAATATAAAGAATGCTGCCATTTCGATCAAATTATAACAAAAAATAAATAAAATACAACCGTTAAAAGTACATTGTGAAATCTGCGGCAGTTCTCAGGCGCCAACATTGACAAATCTACTCTCCGCCCGACGATCCATCTTCAGGCACTCTTTCACTTATTCGCCTTCGTTAAGCGTGACTTTGATTATGTTAATTCATCAATCCACCGTCTACAGTATTAGTATGTGAAAATCAATATACGCTTCATAGCCTCGATGTGAACGATAAATTAATCAATTTCATACCAATTAATTTACACTATTAATTTACCAATATTTCTTCCTTCTCACCCAAATCTAACGAGCAAACGGTGTGAAACGATTTCTATGTGTGGGTCTCATGTATAGTAGGCACGCGTCTCTGGGAAAGACGAACGATGGACCATCGACTAAGGGGTTTACCGAGCGGACGATTATTGAGGAGGGAGAGTAGACCGAAGAGGGAGGGGAGGGGGAGAAGGGGAGGCAGACCTGAGGAGAATCGTCCGCCCCCGAGACGCGAGTAAACGTCGGTAAGAATGGCGATTCGGCTAATGTATTCCGCGGATGTGCGCGCTCATTATTCAGCGATAATTAATTGACGGCTATAAATAAGCGGCGCGTCCGGGCACCGCATAAATAAATGGTTCGCGCGCTGTGGAATGGTAATGGTGACTTTGACGGACCGTTTAAACTGGAATAAAGCAGGGTAACTCGTTTCCTCCGGGCACTCCCCGGGTCCGGGTCTGCCCATCGCACAGTAACGAATATAACTCACCTGCCATGCCGCGCGGCCAGCATAGCGACTGTTCAAGGGACTTGTGGCCCTTGCGGCCTGGAACTGACCCACAGATATTTACTCCCCCGGGACTCTCTTAGACTCTCCCCGCGCCTCGTTTCTTTTCATTCGCCGCGAATCGTTGTGTCTCGAGGAATCGCATGTTTTAGTCGATCATGTTGTTTTATCATTTTCTTATCTATAAAATTTTGCCTAATCGATTTTAGAACAAAACTATCACAGATCATCCTTACTATTATTTTTTAGATATATATCACTGACGAAAAATAGAAACAAGCAGACGATTTTATACACGGAAAGAACAATTCTGGTGGAACATCTAAAAATTTAAGTAGCTACAGATAGTAAAAATAATTTTTATTAAACTATCAAAATAATAATATGTATAAAACTAGATGAAGCATGATGAGCAACGTTGCAAAAAAATTTCACATTTCAGCAACCAGTGTAAGTACCCTACTTAATTATTTGATAACGCAATAGAATTATTTTCAGGTTTCTATTTAGACCTGAAATTTAGTTAAATTTTTAATTATTTTCGCAAATCCGTTCTTTTCGTGTAAATATCTATTATTACCATCAAGGATGCAGAAAATATATTCAGTTACAATTATATAATATTTGAATAATCAGCAATACAATACGCATCGTATTGTTAATGTTCGAATTTAATGACTAAAGACTTCTTTGCTCGTTGACGCCCACAGTGTCATACAATGCGCGATTAATCTCGATCATAACAAGCTCTGACAATGTTTCAATCTTTCGAATTAATCTTCGCTACTGAAAGTAGTAGTTATCTTGCATTGATGATTGAAAAATTGTCAATTTTTTTAACATTCATGTGAAAAATGATGTTTCTTAATCTTCAACTTTCTAAGCAATGAGCAAGGAGGATGTAGCAAATGTAGCATATAACGAACGTGAATTATGCTTCAACGAATCACTTTACATGACATGAACATTACCTTTGATATCACGAATAAAAAGAGAAAATCAGATTATATGGAATGCACTTGCTTTAATGTTGCTGTTAAGGCCCTTGATGTCACATTGGAATAAGACGATTTGCAACGTGGCTACATTATCGTAATATTTGAAACCAATTCGAACGACATAATCATGACGCAGTCGTAGCATCTTGTCAAGGTTAGATTAAAAAGACGACGGCAATGATGAAAGTGTCGTTGAACCAACAACGCGTAGCCAAAGAGGTAATTCTCGAGTTCTTACGACAGGTAGCAGAGTATGCGACAGGCAACAAAGTCCAGAGCCTCGGGTCGTAATTGCCTCGGCGGCGCCATTATTATTTCATAGCGCTTGTATCTGAAGTAAGGACCCGGCGGCGAAATTACAGACTTTCCACGCAACGGATCTCGATATGTAGAGGAGCGCTCTAGTTCTCGAGAGCCTATACTTTAAGGGAGAACCGATCCCCATCGAATGAATATAAATCTGCGACAATATATGCCGCGCTTGCTATGAGATACGGGCAGCATCTTGCAGTTAATGCAAGTTAATGCGCCGATGCGCGTGCGAGGGACGAGCTCGATTATTAGAATTCAGAAAGCGTACCGTAAGAACGCATCGTAGCGTTCTTACATGTGTATTATTCCTTCCGATCAAATGAAACATGGATGCCGATCGAGATATCGTTGCGACTTATGTTAAGTAAAGATCATTTCGCGGTCCTTTTAATTGGACGTGCCGCTGCGTCGAGTCGCGTCCACCCAACTTTTACTACCGCGCAAGCAACAACCCGTTTTCGACGAGAGAAATAATACAATGAATCGAAGAGCGTTATCGGACGGAATCTTCGGCGGACACGGAATTCCGCCTAATAACCACTTCGCCGATCGACATTGTTATGGGACGATCATTAAAGGCGCGTCCCAGTGGCACCCAAAAAACGCTGGATGCACCGTCGTTTAACGGCCCTTACGCCGTCGAGTCTCATCGGCGCGTACTTATCTCAAGGGACTTGAAAATCCGGTCGCATTAAGATATCTATCGGAACAACGGATGTGCGCCATTAAACTTTTACTTTATTTAGTGCTCGGAGGAGAGTCGCAGTCTGCACAGCAATCTCTAGAAAGGAAGACGAGTAAAGGAAAGAGAGAGAAAGAAAGAAGAGAATGACGATCCACGTACGAAGTCGCGCACTGCGTCCGTCAGTGACGTTCGTAGGTAGGATTCCTCTTCACGTTGCGCGATTGTTCCTCAACGTATAATTATTACTTATATAGTACGTTTGCTACTAATGACCGCCTCTCACGAGACACCGTTTAGAATTGCTAATGGCCATGCGTTGTCAATAGGCAGTAAAGCGCATGAATCTAGTCACCTAACTAATAATTGAAAGCATTATGATTTACAAAAGATGTGCATATGATTAACTGAGAGAAATGTTTTTGAGAGATTTGCGTATCTCCTCGAATTAAGGGACACAGTTTGAAATTTTGCAATAACTTCAGAACTGAAAAATAGCTCTTGTAGTTCAAACATAGACCTCCACCCCAAAAGAGCTAGTAAGATGGTCTAATTTATATTGCATCGATACATCCAGATTGAAAAAATTATAGAAACGCCAGAAGAGAGTTGATCTAAAACCATTAGTAAAAATTCTCACTTCTTGTGGAAATTCAACCTAATACAAAAAACAATGTGTATATAATTAGAAAATTAGGATGCGATTGCATTAATTTTGTCAAAACTTTCAAAAATTTTTTATATTCGCATTCAACTGCTTCTCTGATACACTTATGATAGTAATAATCGCCTCGTTGTCTAGAAATAGGACAACAGTTCGTGGATTCGCGTCTCATGGATTTTCAGTGCGTCGCTCGTATAGAGAACATCAAATAGAAATCCGGAATATGCGCGGTACGAAAATTAACGCTGACGATTACGGCACAGCTATCAAAATTGGAGAAACGGGCGCCAATCTTACCGCCCTTCCTCCATAAGCGATTGTTAACTGGTTATTTCCTACGGTCATGAAACTGAATGGTTTAAGCAGAAAGTTATGACTTTGGAGCTCGTTATGCATGCATAGGCGCGAGCATAAAACACTGGAATTGCGCGAGCGAGCAAACGAGCGAGCGAATGAAGCAAGTGAACAGCACGCTGGTTTCCATTCGTCGTCGCATATCGGTGCGACCCTGATCTTCTCTTTTTCTCTCCAGAGATGATCCGGCGACACGGCGGCGATGCCCTTGCCGTGGTCCGCACCTCCATGTTCTCTTCCTTGCCGAGGCGTCGCGGAATCACGAAGGCGAGAAAGCTTTGCCTCGCGGCAAAGGTGCTGCAAGTGCCCGCGTTGCAGAAAGCATGCACCATCGGCGAGGACGACGACGGGCGTCGTTATTCGCGCTGATTTAGTTGAAGGCTGCGGATTTACGGATCTACCCTTACTGCCACGCAGTACGTAGCTACGTACGACGGGCGGCGCTGCGCCGAGCCCTTTCTCGTTAGCCGCCTACATTATATTACCCATCGAGCGGCATACATCATTCCCTCTTTATGTAAGTATCTATAACGGCCCGAGAAACATTTGCAGCTCGCTCTGCGCAAAGGAATGAAACAGAACAGCGCAGCTGGATACGCGAACGTACCCGCGTGGGCTGGCCGGATGGTGCCAACGCGGGGGAACCGCTCGCGACCACTCGTGGAATTGATGTACTGCGACCGGAGAACAATGCCTTGTGACCAACGACGTGCCGCATTGCAGTGCAATCTTTTCCCTCGCCGCGTCCACGCCTGACAGCACTACGGAAACGCCTACATTTCCGAAAATTATGGAAATGTGCTCGAATGAGCGTCTGACAAATGTGATATATGAAAATTTAATAGTCAGTTAAATGTAATAAATTAACGAGCAAAGCTATCAACAATTTTCCCACAGTCCACGTTATCTAACTGTTATATAATTAAAATTTACTCTAAAAAATATCAGTATGAATTTAATATACTATGTATTAACGGCAACTTTTATGAATTTAACACCATGGATTTTCACATTTGTTAGTGTTAATATTAATACTCTGTCACGGTGAAAATTATAAAAATGTCGCATGGTGTTAAATCCATCAATATTTTTTTAAGTGGACGCTTAAGACTCCTGTTTACTCACCTCTATCTTAAAATTATGTCAAAAGCGAGAAAATACTAAATAAAAATTCTTACAAATTATATTTGAATATAGAAATATTTTTCAATTAAACAACAGTTGTTTTATTGAAACATATTATATTTCAATATTGACATATTTTGTAAAATTTTTTATTGTGTATTTTTTCGCTTCTGACGTCGTAATTTGAGATAGTAATGATAAATAAAAAAAAAGGTCTTAATAATGTATTACTTTTTAAACTCAAGATTAACGCAGGTTTATTAAATATGACATATATGATTAGATACCATCTTTAAATTGAAATAAAAGATTCATTTACGATAGATAGAACATTCTTAGAACATTCAATCGTATGCGTTCGACATTGTTGCGTGTTAGTCAAGATGTTATCTGCATTCTTGTCATGAATAAGACACCACTGTTACGATCCACAGATAGAAGCAAAGAAGATCGAAGAAATCCATTGCTATGTAAAATATACGTTTGCGCCTATTCTCTTCTATCCGGTCAATTATCTTGACACCATCTTGTGTGTAATGTATATGTGCAAAGTAATTGGCCTTGTTCGAATACAATCTAATCAACTGACTTGATTAATAAGATTATACCAATTTTTCCCAATTTTCCTCGATAACAAATTGTCAAAATTTTTTCGTAAATCTCGCGCATTGTTTGCACAATTATGTTACGCGAAACCGATTCGTGACAACAAAATTCAAAAATATATGCAGAAGACAATAAATCGAAATTAACATTTTAAATGTCCAGATCATACAAATAAATTATATTAAAGAATTATATCTTGATTCTCCGTCTGCAATCATATTTTTACTCCCTCATCGGCAAACTGTTTTTTTTTTAAGAGTGAAACTATAATTCGTTGCCAAAAAATACTCAAATTACAGACGGAGGATTAAAAAGTAGCAGCTTTTTTCAAATTTATGTCAGTTATGAAAATGAATAATTTTAACAAGCAATTCGATTAAAGTAACGGGTTAGTTAAACCAGCATGAAAAATACGATAAATTTACTTTCACAAGAATCTTATGTAATCTACGAATGCCTGGAGCGTGAAATCAATATCATAAAGGCTTTGGAAAGTATATCCTAGAGCATCGATTCTATTAGATGCATTAGCTTCATTACTTACTTGGAGCATTTACGTGACGTTCACGTTATCTTATATTATACATCGCAGTCAAGAGTGAGAACGTACGAATACGAAGTCGCAGAACGATACCGATCAGCGCGACGAACTCAGGAACAAAAACGGTGCCTATATGTTAGCAAGACGAAGGTGAATGGCAGAGATGACACACAGTGAGGGTTACTTCTCAGTCAGGAAGTAGAATCCTCAAGCAAACCGTCCGTCGTTGCGTAGAAATTTATCGTCGAGCACGAAACGCATCTTATTGCAAGAGACGTACTCGTGGACGACAACAACGAATAGGTACTTAAGTCCTATAAGACGCTCCGGTCCGAGAACAAGCGTGGATTCTACCGGTTCTTAATAATTGTACGCCGGCCTCTCACGCAAGATTGCGAAGCTTATCTTCGGTAAAATGCTTCAAAAGCCAGTCGGCAACATGGCAATACCGGGACAGTCTTTGCATACCACTGGCCGATACACTCTGGGTATACGGCTCTACGTAACGACAAAACTGACTTAAAGATGTTAGCATCTTTTCAGCACATCCTTTACTAACGTACAACCATAATTACTTTGTATAGCTATAATTATACTGAATCATAAAAAAATTTTGCAAATCTTTCATTACACGATAATTAATTTTTTTATTTTATACTCTCCCAAGTAGTCTGTGGCGTCGTCTTGCGCAAATCTTAACCGTTATATACACGTGTTATAACCACTCATTAATCACTCATAAAAGGCTATTAATAGACAGCTTATTAATATCCCACGCAACCATTACTAACTTAACCGCGTCAAGACAAACTGAAAATTACGCTGTAATAATGTTATTCACATCACGCGCGTATAAATCGAACAGTTACATGTCACGATCTCATTAATCGTCTATCAATTAAATAAAGAGTGCCATGACAAACTATCAATATCCTTGGCAAGTAATCCCACCGCGTGAGGCAGACGGAATCGACAGCTCTTGGACAGTAGTATTTTTATCCCTTTCGCGGGGACCTAATCGCATCAGTCACGAGACGAAGGACCTTTTAACCATGAAGTCCTCTCAGGTTGGAGAATGAGATAGAACAGCCGGCTGAGGACGCGGAAGACGAGTAAAGAAAGAAAACAGCGAAGATGGGAAGGGAAAGAAGCATAAGAATGAGAAAAGAAGAGAGAGAGGGAGAGAAGAGAGCAAAAGAACAGCAAAGACAAGAGACGAGAGCAGAGAAGCTACGGGAGAGTCCCAGTCCGCTTGACAGTGAGGTGTCGGGTGGTCGGAGTCCGGCTTGCTGTCAGCTTGTCAGCCTGTCAGCCCACGCACGTTGGCACCGTGGCGACCGGGCACACGGGGACCGGCGACCGCGTATGGATTCACACATCGACGCCTCATGCACCGTGGCCGCACGCACAACGCGACCGTGCCGGACCGTGTATTGTTACGACGCGCGAACGCTATTTCGTATGCATGTGAAGAGCGAGACCAGCTCGGGACCAGCTCTCGGAACAAATCCGCTTCGCGGCTTTACAGCCGTCATTAGTCGCGGAATCACGCCTGTCAATTCAGAGCGATTTCACCAGGATTTATTAAAAGTAGCTTTTGGCCAAGGCTATATCAACCGCGCCTTGTATGGTCCTTTATAATGATGCCGATAATTGCGATCACATCTGCACTATGCCGATCGATAAAATCACCTGTTCTATATAGCGTCAACTTGACCTCGATAATATATAGAAATGGCAGACAGAGACGAGAATTGCTCCTCTTCGTTTATTCATGAGAATAACGAGATCTAAATATAATTGTACGAATGATCGCGCATGTCAATCGGTCACAACCCATTCTATTCATTCGCTCTTAAAGAATCTTGCCAGTAAATCGAGTGGACTTCCACGATGAGAGACAGGTGCTCCCAGCTGATGCCCTTAGCAAACCGGAGGTGAAGGGACATCGTACGCTCGAGAAAACACAATCACTTTGAATGGACTCGATCGTAGAATTGCGATAACCGCTTTAGAGGGTTCGAGACATTACATGATTCTTACGATTGGAATTTTGCCCCAGGGGGCATAAACGATTTTACATAGTGATTAACAAATAATGTGTTAATCTGCAAATGATGGAAGACTTATATTCACTTTTATATGCGTTACAGCGTTATTACGTATCGAAACAGTACATTCTCTAAATAATTTTTCTTCTAAAATGTCATAATTTAATTTACGTTATTGTGAAATGTGTAAAACTGGCAAGACATATAATAGTCTTTTATAGTTGTTAAAAGAATATTATTGTGATTTTTATTAGAACAACTCTTTCGTAATTCTTGTAACTCTTATTCTTAATTTATTAACTAAGAGAAAGTGTGCGGCTTTAACGAGACTTGCCAGTACACGGTGTGTCACAAATAGGAAGGAAATAAACGAACGTATCAAAATAATACTGTTATCATTTGATATTGCAGTTGCTATCGCGATTATACGTTGTATTCAGCTGTGAAACTAATACCTCACTTGTGGTTACCATATATCAATTGAACAATCTATATTTTTTTATTATAATTATATGTAAGGTTTCTGGGATATGATCTCTCACTGTTCTGACGTCACGGGCACTCATTCTCATTTTTTATGCAACCGGTTTCAACATTATCACGCTGAAATATAGCGTGATAAATGGTAAAAGAAACATTGTTGCTAATACCCCAAGCCTAAACTGTACTTTCATTACAATTACCGTTGCTACCGCGATCGGATAGTTACGCGCTACTGTCTTGAAAGTATATAATTTATCTATAGTAGAAGGGCGTAACTCGTGCGAAAAACGTTTACTTACGATAGTAAAACGTTATATTTAGGAGAATATTCCATAATGATAAAGACCCGCTCGAGATTGTCTCGGATCGATGCGGAATTATGGAGGCGAGTGCAATTATCGATAGTATATCTCGATTATATCAGAGTCGGCGCATTATCATGTATGCTGATATAAAAAAGCACAAAATGACGAGCGTTGCATTCCATCCAAGGAGATCTTGGCCATTACGCTAGATTTTCTGCCATTAAGGCTCAATCTTCCAGGGAGCGCGCAGACTGTATAAGGCCGTCATAGATTGCACCAATGCGATGCATACCGTAGCGCGATGCGCGTCCGTAGTGCGTACGTAGCGTAAAAATCTACGTCGCCGTTAAGAGTTCCTATTAATTTGCAACGATAGCGCATACCCTCGGCAATTAATAGCGGCTCACGGTAATTAACAGCCGGCCTGCGCGGCGCAGCTCGACTCGACTCGACTTGACTCATCGTGTCACGAACGGCCGTTGGATGCATCGTCGTAAATGCTTCTACCATGAATATTATGCCGCCGTCGCGTCGCACGCATCGTCGCATACAATTCCCGTTGTTTGCACGCATTTATCGATGAGGTAATCTCTCCAGGGCGCACAGGATCGCACCGCGTCTGGCTAATCCGCGAGGATTCTAAACCGCAAAGCTCTCGCGCACCCCCAAACGTATTATTATCCGGTAACCCATCTTAATTGACCTCACCCTAGGCACACGGTTCGCCGATAATCGACGCTATTAAATCGCTCGATCGCCGACGCAAGGAACGTATATGAT